TTTGGTGTGTGCTTGGTGCAGTGCGGCATAATTCGACAAACGTTTCTTCAGCATCACAAGCCTCATCAGGGCGGATTGCCGGTTATCTAGATACTGAGGTCTCCCGGCTTGTCACGTTAACGAAATCTCATATTGGGCGCCAACATTTTTGTAGAACTTTCTATTAGTTTTGACGCGCTCCCCTCGTTCACAGACATGGCTAGTCGTGAACTATCTAGCCCGTCATATTCCCTTTCACACATTCGCTATAGCAGTTGTTGAAGGTCAGTGGTATCGTAGCAAAGTGAATTGATCCTTCGTGTTCGATCAATTATCGGTGATGTGGATTGATATCTCATAGTCTTGTGCTGTTTGTTTGGTCCCGATACGATGCAGCCCAATGGAGTTTTAACTGCATACGGATCATCAGGATCCCCGTGTCTCTGATCTAATGCCCAGTGTAGATATGGGTTATCGCAATCAATCAAAATTTCAACCCTTCATTCCATCTCCGGTAACCGTAGATCAGAGAGGTGGGACCATCTGTAGAAATCGTTTTTCCTGTTTCTCGTTCCAAGTTTTCAGGGAGAGAACTGACTGACCTTATTGAATCCAGTTAGACCGCCTCATTACCTGCTTTAGAGCGAACAGCTACACAAACCAAATGCAACTCTACTTGGCATTGGCAAGCAACGGTGCTAATGTTAAGTGTCGTCACGGACCCTTGAACCCCGATAACTTGTAGTAATGCTGAAGCCATCAGTAAAGTATCTGATCCATTATCTATTAAGGCTAATGTTCGAATGGTGCCAGCAGGCCCAGAAATAAGCACAGGCAACAAGCTAAGCGATACAACAGAGTGTTCGAGGTGTCTGAGATTAACACTGGATCCTTCGGTGTTTGGTCTACCGAAGTTGCTTAGATCAGCATGGAGTAGCGGGTGGTGCAGCAGCTTACAATTGTTCGACGCCCAACACCTTCGTGATCGACAACTTGGTAGGTCACACAGTCTATGGACACGACAGAATTCAAGACGTTCATTGAGGTTGAGCTTTCGGAAATCACCGCGTTGATCTAAATAGTGTCGTCATTCACAGGAAACACATTTGGGGAAATTTCATGCTGATGAAGCCGCAGAGTTTAGGGAAGCGGCATATTTCAGAGGGTTTATACTTCTGTCTCTAGCGGTGTTGGTCGGTGGTCCGCAGGGACGTGCGGCATAGGAAAAGTAAGTATCGACGACGTCTGCGGTTTCATACACGAAATCTGTCAAGTTAAATTTCAAGTTAAATTTGGACAGGAACGGTAGGGAAATTCCCATGTGTGTTCCTTCTTCAATGTGTTGTTAAAACAGGATGGAGTTCGCGGGAGCAAGTTGAAACCGAGAAGAGCCAAATCAATGCACACGAATTACATCATGGTCAACCAAACAATGCCCACGCGGCCTGCACTAGCAGTCCCCGCTGTACCTGTCACGTGAATAAGAATAAAGGCTAAGAGAAGGGAATCAATAAAAACAGAATAATGATAATTGTAGTACAGGAGAGGATGTGTGGATAAGACAATAATCGTAATAGAGATGAGAAATAGATGTAGAAGTTAAGAACCAAACTGAAAATATTAAACTGCAACCCAAGGGCGTCGAGTCGATGTTCAAACTCCTTCCTCGTTGATGCTAATACTACTTCGCTGGTTAGTGCGTTCCATGAGTCGATGACCCTGCGTGATAAAAGAAAGTCAGCTCTAACGCGATCACATCTGCGCTTATGCAGCTTCAGTGAGTGACCACAAAGTGATGGTATCTAAGTCGGATGAAACAGTCTAGTTAGATCAGGCCCAATCTTGTTGGTCAATATACGGTTTATAAGTACCAGGTCTCCCCGAAGGCGCCTATTGTGCAGCGAAAACATCTGCAATCTGAACAGCCTTTCAAGATACGAGAGATGCCACAATCCTTGTACCTTTTTGTGCCAACCATCAGAACTCGTTCAAGTGCCATTTTGTCGCGTACTAAGCATGGAACAATGGAACAATGGTTTATGACGGGTATAAAAGCCATGCTTGATAGGTCCCGTAGGATGACGAGAATTAACATCGTAAAATTAAAAAAATCGTATCGATGAAAGTACGTGTGAAATGCATGACTCACCAAGGGATTGGAGATGCACATAAACAAGTAATCCAATAGGAATTTTAAGTGGATTCCGTCCACGTTCGTTGTTCACTAATACCATCATCCGATGGTCGCACGTTATATCACATAGTGCAATCGTGTCAGAGTTTCGTCAAGGCGTTTTTTGAAAAGGGATAGGGTGGGAGCGTTAATTACATGTTCTGGAAGGGCGTTCCAAGGTTGTGACACTCGGAGGGAGAAGAAATTGCCTCTACATTCCAGTCGACTGTACTGTGTGATCAACTTGAACTGATGACCTCTTAGGGATGCGTTTTGACTACGTTTCAAAAGGGAATGACACGTGTGGTTGGGGGTTCTCAGTATAAACACTACAAACACGCTGTGACCTTAAATCAAACCAATGAATTTCGTGACTACAGCAAAGCTTCAAAAAGACCTTTAATGCGGCTCAGCTGAATGTGATTTTCACCAGCAGACCTTTACTAGTTCCGATATTCCAAAGACCGAGTGCCTGATTATCTCCAATGGATGTTAATCTACCGGTTCACCTGCCCGTGCGGGGGCCAGGTACGTTGGACGAACGACCAGGCATCTAGGTAAGAGAATTAAGGAACACCTGCCAGGTTGGCTCTACAACCGCGAGAATACAACCAATTACAGTGCGGTTACAAACCACCTAATAAACACAGGCCACCAGGTGCACAAAAGAACAGCCTTTCCAATTCTCTACAAAATACCATCAAGACAAAACCATCGTCTAAGAGAAAGCATACTCGCCACCGCTGAGGCAATATGCATACGTCTAACAAAGCCGGACTTGTGTGTTCAGAAGAAACTAATACAAACACTACAACTTCCCTGGCCGATCACCAGCCGTGAAGGAAGTAATGGTACTCCGCAAATTCACCTGACTTCAGTCATGTGATCAGATGAATGCCATCATGATCCCAAGTTAATTTTCTGATCAATTGTTTCTTTGTTACACTAACGATTGCAACAGACGTTAACCTAATGTATACTACTGTATGAGCCTGATGAAGAAGTAATCGAAAACAATTGTTTGTTCAAAGCTTCTTGTTTTGTTTATCTTTCGAAACTTGACGTAACAAATGGGCATTCTACTTAAATTCGCTTCTCTTTCGGTGCGGAAAACTCTGGCGGCATGCTCTGCCCAATTGAATTGCAGATGGTAGGGCAGACTCCTGGTGATAGAGTTGCTTGTTCTTGACACATTAAAAACGGATTCATAGCACAATTGTTCCAACGTCATCTAGCATGAAAGCTACTCCACAGTTAGACAAGAAAGAGATGCGAAGTCATTGGGCCAGACGTTAGCGCCATCATTTAGAGCATTAATGTGAGTCCTAGCAATCATGTGGGGTCGTCCGAAGCGTCTGCGCAAAACGTTCATTGCTTCTTGGAAACATTCACCAGGGTTGAGTAAGAAGCAAACTTACGATAGCCCATTTGGCTTCACCAAGACAGAACTGTATCAGACATGAAAGCCTGATAGTTGTATCGGAAGTAGTTCTGGTAACATTGGTTTCGAAGTATCGCATAAATATACAATAGCGGGCAGGATCTCCATCGAATGTGATCATTTCGCGTTTTGAAAGACAGCATTACGTGCTGGGTTTAAAGTAACTGGATTTGCGTTCCGGACACAGGATACTGTCAGCCTGCAACTCGGAGTAAAACGCCTCCGATGGGGATTGTACCTGGGCACCAAACAGACCCCAACGGACAGACCAGTTGAGCTGCGGACAGAACGCACGAACCTCGACTAATCGGCTTCAAAAAAGACTTGCAGTTGGAAACTTCAGAAGCGTCAGTCAGAATAAATCGTGATGGTTCATTAACCAGCGCATCCGACTCAAATTCAGGTTCGCAATCGTCCTTAACATCAACCGGATTCGCCTGCAGCATGCGCATGATCATTAAAGCCGACTCCAGCAGACGAATACGTGATTCAGATCTTTGAAGCTTCTCAGCATCAGCAGCGCCAACATCATCAAGAGAATCACTAGAAATAGACAAGCTTGCCATTTAGAACGTATGTACCAACGTTACGAAGCCTAAACTACGCAGCTCTTACGAAACCTAAACTAGAAACTCAGAACAAATAAACTTAGTGTTAACGCAAGGTTTGGACAGAAGAATAAAACGAATTACCATGCAACCGTGGTTCTATACGGCAAATTAATGACTGCACGTGACTTACGAATAATTTTTGCAATCGTAGTGGAGGGTAAAATTATAAAGAGTGAGGCAGCCTGCGAGTATTCGGGCAGTGTCACAGTAACAGAGTAATGTGGCGGACCTTGAAACGTCAAGGATATTCCAGCGACCGAGAGTGAAAGGAATAAATGTACACTATGGTAACCGATCGTATCACACAGACCAAAACAATGTAAAATGGGCAGCGTAATTAGGGAATAGAGATACCGTATCCTCAAGCAAGCAATCCAGGTTAATGATACGTCAACGTATATTTTGGACTTCACAATCACTACGATCCAACGGCAAATTATAGCCAACCTTAGTAACTGTATAATAGTAAATCGTACTCAAACATTTGACTGTTTTGTGATCACTACACGGGATCGCAAGTATTCAGTCAATTTATCCGCCTAAATTTTTGTGTAGCTATGTTCATTTAGTCTAGAGACTATTGGCCTGTTGGTCCGCTTGTGGGTGCAAATATTTCCTCCAGTTGACCATATCGGATTTTTAACCTTATGGTAAATTCCATGCAATTTTCGAATCACTGTTTTCACCACCCCATTCGTCTGTAGATAAATCATCTGCGCCATCTGAGAGAGGACAGTCGAAATCGAGATGTTTCCTTACATGTGGAAAGATATTGCCTGTCTTTCTTGGAGGTTTAATGCTTCTGTTTATTATTCTGGCATCTCTGCTGACAACAATAGCAATTGTATTGAACGGTGAGGCCTGCCGTTACCTCCACAAACCCTCTGCCATTCGTGTGACGGATGCTGCGCTCGATATGTATTTACTACATAAGTTGGACAACTGGATCATTGGGGCTGGACTTCCACCGAATATCAGAGAACTCATCGCACCAACTCCACCAAAAAACACGCTCAGCACTCTGTTACTAACGTGTCGACCATCTCTGGGAGCAGTAACATCTAACATTTCTTTACTACATAGCCTGGGAATTGAAAACATTGTCAACATAACATCTTTCATTAAGAACAAAAAACTGCAAGATATTATCGATATAAATTACCCGTGAGTTTTCAATAAACTGTCTTGTTTTGCAGTTCCATTGATATTACTATTAGACGAGCAAAATATGCAAATGAAAATTGTCTGTACCTCTTTCCTCTGACTCTTACATATCTACTTAACTGCTGGTGATTGACTGAGCTAAGAAAAGTCTGTCTGTGTGTGAGGAGATTCATTCAAGTCTTTGAAGTCTTTCTCAGTAAGCCACAGCATAGATGCAAAAGGGCATTTTCACTGAACTTAACACTGGCTAGCAGGATAACCAGTAATTACATTACTATGGCAGAAGAACCGGTAGCTATCAGTCTGTACACGTTTATGAAATCAGTAAGTTGTGAATGAGTCACGCAACGTCAAACTAGCTCCCATCATTGCAACGCAGTTCGAGAAAGTGGTTCATTTTCCATTATTTTTCTACCACACGTCATTGATTTCATTTGTGCCAATGACAGTAAATAAAAATCAGGGGAAGCGATTGCATCTTCCACGATGTGACTCGTAGCACACTGGCTTGACGCGTGTGGGTTTTGGAACAATTATTTAGAGTAAGGAACTGAATACTTAGGATTCTGCACGCACTTACCCCCTACACGTTAGCCAGTGTTGGAACACGCCCCAGCTCTTTTGCCGCAATAGGTAAGAAAAGAAGAAGAAAAAAGCCGGCAACCGAGACACACACAAAACATATACGTTAGCTAGAGGTCGGAAACACCTCAGCTACTGCGCCGCAATACCTAAAAGAAAAGAAGGAAATAAAGTGCAACAGGTGCAAGCCAGCTGGGCATCGTTCCGGTAAGCTACCAGCCGACTACCATGATGCAAGAAAGTAATTTCCTATGCAAAATAATTAAATACTAAATAATGAGATCGTGGTTGGAGGATGAAGCTAAGAGGGATGGTGTGGGACAAAGAAACTCACAACACGAACGCCACTGAAGTAGGCTCCTAGCCATCTCAACAAGTGTATCCAGCCAAACGTGTTCATCGTCTTTCGGACCCTAAATTGGGAGTGGAAAAGCTCCAACTAAGGCTGGCTACGAAGTGCGAGTCTTCATTTCCCTCGACCAATTCATCGCTTGGCTACCCCTCCACTTCTTCCATCCACACCCCAGAGGCGCAAGCAACCCACGTCGCGGGAGTCGGTGAGCTGGCATGCGTAACACCTGGTCGAGCCATCGGAGCCTGGTGCGTGTAATAACCATGCTGAGCGGTTCATTTCCTTTCCTGTGGCGTAAACAAGGCGTCGAACACGCTCGTTGCTCACGCGGCGTTCCCACCAGAGGTGAGCTAAAGTGCGAAGGCACCGACAGTCGAACATAACTAGACTCTTCAGATCCGCTGCTTTAAGCTGCCAGGTTTCACAACCGTACAGTAGGGTCGCAGGCACCGCTTCATTGTACACTCTACCCTTCAGGGCGCCGGCGCCCTAAATGGCGAAGGTTAACAATATGTCCTCGAGGTTTCACAACCGTACAGTTGGGTCGAACGTACTGCTTCATTGTACACTCAACCCGTCAGGGCGAGAGTGGTGTCGCGCCGGCGCCATAAGTGGGGTAGGTTAACAATAGCGCCTCGAGCTTTTGCTATACGGTTCGTGATCTCAAATTCAGTCCCACGCGTGCTGATACAACTTCTCAGGTAGCTAAATTTTTGAATGTCTTCTAGCTGATCCCACTCATGGTCAGCAAAGCAGGCGGTCTAGACCAATCTTGAAGGAACGCTTTGCACGTCGATGATGCAAAGCAAAGCCCGAAGCGGCTGACAGCCAGTGCTAATATGTCAAGTGCCGCTTGGCACGTCTGGGAGCTGTCACAGATTAGAATAATCTCGTCAGTAAACTCCAACTCAAGAAGTCCTTCTCCTGGGAGCAGATCCACACCTTCTAAGTCGTACCCTGTGAACGCGCTTTCCATGATTTCGTCAATAGCGAAGTTGAAGAGGAAAGGTGACAGCCGGGCATCCTGGTCTCACACCGCTGGAGATATTGAAGGGAGACGACAGCTTGCCGTAAGCCTTCACTCTGCGCGAGCTACGCGTATATAATACTCGGAAGGTAATTAGGTATTTCTCGGATACACCTTTCCTGAGTAGAAAGTCCTAAAGTGCACTTCTGTCCACCGAATCGCATACACATTGGATATCGAGGGACACGACAACGGTGGGTCGCCAATACGTGTGACGGTGCTCCAACAAATAGCGCGAAGTGAAGACGTGATCAATGCAGCCATGACCTCGACGAAACCCGGATTTCTCTTCACCAATATGGCTCTCACGAGTGCCAGTCAGTCTGCGAAGGTTGACAGAGGCAAGCAATTTGGAGGCGATGGAGATCAGACTGATTTCTCTATGGTTGCCGCATTTGGATCGTGAGCGGCTCCAGTCGCTTGGGACAGCTTCTTGTTCTTACAGTTTCACTAGTAACTCGTATAGATCATCCAGCAGAGCAGTTCCCCTCGAATTTGAAAAGGGCTGCAGGTAGATTATCCGGTCCTGCGGATTTATGTAACTTCAGCAGTGCGATCTCACGTTCTATGTCTGAGCGATACGGTGGATCCAAAGGGACAGCCCACGGAGAGGGGCGATCAGTGGCCGGGGAGAAATCTAACAATTCCGACGGATTAAATTGCCTTTCAAATTGCTCAGCCCAACGCTCCAAGCATTTCGACATGTTGTGGATAGGCTGTCCACACTCGTCACGTACAGATTCGCTAACATCAGGTCTTCTGCTGCCCGTTTCCCGTATCAGACAGACTAAATTACGGTGGTTACCAAGGGCAGCTGCCATTTCCATCTCTGATGCACGATGAGACCACTAGGATTCGCAGTCTCGCTTCAGGCTAGCACGGAGTGTTTCGCGGAGCTCTTTACGAGTTTCATTGGGTTTGTTTCCAACTGGAATATACCGGCGAACATCCATAAGTTTCTGAGACTGCGAAGAGACCCAATGTCCATGTTGTCGATTAGACTTACCACAAAAGGATTTGCTCGCTGGTAATAAGGACTGGTGAATATGAGACCAGTGAGCTTCAACTGCATCCATTGAGCGCTTACTCAACTCGCATGACAGCTACTTTGATAGGCATTCGGAACAGCTGGTTTCGGCAGTTGGCTGGTGTCAATGCGATTACAACGTCGTCTTGGGCTTCCGCCAAAACGCATCCGCAGGTCAGCACATACAATTGCGTGGTCGGTGTCCACACCTACGCTCCAAGTCGAGCGACAGTTCTGGACGCAGCCGCTCCATCGGCAACTTATCGCAATGTGATTGATCTGCGTGCATAGCTGGTTCGAGGCTGGTGGGCGTCAAGTCACCCTTCGGCGGGTGCTGTGTCTGAAATTAGTGCTCGCAAGAAATAAGGAAGCATCTTCACACAAATTGAGTAACCACTCACCGTTATCATTACGAAATCCTACATCATGTTAGCCACCCAGATGCAGTTCATCGGTGGATAATTTTCCAACTTAAGCGTTCAGATCCCCGGACAGCACAACAGTGTCTGAGCTTCTTCTGCGGCGAAGGAGCTCGTTCAATTGGCGATAGAAGTCGTCTTCTACCGAATCATCGCTAGGGTTTATGGGTGCATAGCAGCGATGACGAATAGACACCTATTAGTCATGTGCGACTTCAAAGCTTTGAACGAGCCAGCCAATCGGACTGCACACAACCGGCTACTGATTGGAATCCAGTCAGTTAGAGCAGCCTCAGCCCGGCGCTCAGGGCGATACCAACACCGGCTTGGCCGGTGTTCCTAGGTGCATCATCACCCGATAGGCACAATGAAAAAATGCTGCTGTTGTCACCTGAAGTGGATAGCAAAGTAAGTACAGAGCTCGAGCCTTGCAAGCGGGTCTCCGATAAGCAGCATATATCGATTGAGAGGGTCACCAATGTTCTGGCAAGTGCTGCCTGTTGACAGATCTGTAGCAATGTGTCTACATTGAGACATGCCAATCTGGAGGATGTTTGAAAGCTCCAAATGGAAGTCGATGAACTGGGCTTTGCCGCTTGGTTGGACATGGGCTTGTCGACAGGACAGGAATGACGCTCCGTGTTCACATGTGAGTTGAAACTAGAAGGCAAGCGGCTATTGAAGCAAGGTGAGTGAAGGCCAAAAATTGGGGTTGACAACAGGGGGGATAAATGTGAAGTTGGAACGGGACGGTAGCAGTAATGCGTAAGAGGGTGAATAAGACGATTGGTAGGCTTGAGCAGTAGCATCCAAACCCCTATCCACCTTGCTCGATGCAGCAGATAGGGCGTCGTTGATTATCCTCTGCGATGGCTAGAGCAACAAGAAACTGTTTGAAGAGAAATTCAACCAAGGCACATCATCTGAGGCGCCAGTGACGGATGGGCATCATTCCGGAAAGCCCCCAGTCAGTATTGGGCAGAATAAAGTATATTATGTAAAAGTTATAGTATAATATATTATAGTACTATACTATAGCACAATAATACTATAGTATGCACTATACTATACCACACTAATTGGTAAGTTGATGTTCGATCAAACAACACACTGGACGGAACCATTTCCTGTTGGGCAACGTTCAAAAAGTATATTTCCAGTAAAGCTAAAAACCAGTGATGCACGTGGAATGCAATAAAGATTTATTGAAAATTTCCCTTCCCGAAACAGAACACATCGTTAAAATAGAGCAGTTAGTGTTTTCTGTGGCCACATGCTCCTTTGAATTAATTGTGGTTTTCCATCGTCACAACAATGTGTTAAAATCAAAGCAGATCAGGTTCTCATTTTACGACCACAGTTTGCCATTGTCTTGACAAGGAATGTTACGCACCACTTATACTGAATTAGCTACTAAACCCAGAGCCATTTCCTTTAGCAGTCAACTGAAGATTCATCTTCTCTACAGGCCGTAAAATCATGTCACTAAATTTTAAACGAAAATCGCTTTCCGCAGTACTCAACATGTGATAAAACCCGTGAGTGTGACCGTTTGCTTTCCCTGCAAGTTGTCTGACAGTAATTCAAAAGTAGGATATGCGTCGTTAATAAAAGAACATACCTGGTTATTTACGATTATCCTTCAATTAAATGGCTACTTGCCTATTTTGCACCTTTATTATTTATTTGTTTGTTTCTCCTGCAACTAGCAGCTAGTGGCCGTTTGATATAAGGCATCTGTCGCGCAAAGCATGGATTCACCTCTCGAATTTGCAAAAGTGCACTTTGCTCCGTAGCATATCTGCTCAAGCTGCTACTAGTGGTGATTGCGTGATAACAATGGCTAGGTAACTCTTAAAATTGTATTGATGGTGCACCACTTAATTCTTCATACCTGAGAGCGATGAGCTCTGTAAGTATGTGCTCAGATCCCTAGGAATCCCAGAATAACTTCACAACCAAGAGGCATTCCACAAGAAAAGAGGCTACAAGTTAGGCCGCGACACATGACAAGAGCCCAGTAATTATCTCATCATCCTAAGAAAAGTCACGGCATTCAAAATGGTTCAACTGATGGCGCGATACTTTTTGGCTAAGAGGGCAGCTCGAGCAATTATCAGGCACCATTCTTGCTGATCTCCAGTTTCCTTTGGGCTGATTTCGTTTTGAACGTTGCGAATAATTAGCACCACGTATCACAAATATTAGGGTCGTTAAATCTACGACATATCAAAGGATAAATGCGAGTTTTGTTTCTTAATCTCAAGACGCTCTATGAACTTGATATGTCAGTCGTCGTAAGACTGCCCGCCGTCTGGAATAGAACAGTTTCTTGACATCTCTGATAATATTTCTTAATATTAATGTAGTTTACTTTTGGGATGCTAATTACAGACACAATTTTGGTCTTGATCATTGGGAATTCACACTATACATTGAAACTAAAAAGCAGCTTATTTTTGTTACCAAATTAAGTAATTCAACTGGCATACAGAATTTCACCGTAAATTAAGTCGGCAGACTTGATCAAACAATGAACAACCGTTTCGCTTTACTGAGATAGATAACCAATGCTAAGAATTCCACTCCTATTTACTTTTATTTACCTATAACTCTTCTACCATGTTCACACAGCTCGTACAGGTTCCTTATTTAATGTGAATCTGTTACGATTAAACGGTCAGCATCCTTTTCCACTTCAGATAAAATGTGTGAATTTTTCCTCGTTTTTCAGGACTGTTGTCGACCAAATTCTTGGCATGGATTTAGGGTCGCATGTGCCGAATGACATGAAAGACTTGCTTCAGAGGGCCCAGAATGTCGCTTTAATTTTAGAATCGCCAAACTACACGGTCAGTGACTTCCAGCGTGAAGAAATTGAACAAATTCGTCGCAAAGCGTTCAGTTTAAACACGATTTTTACAATAATTTTTTATACTCCTATAGGTAGCCTAAGTGTGGATTCCTGATGGTAAGGAATGCATTTCACCTCTGGACACAAACACATGGTACGAGTAACAGCTGAGGGTTTAAAGGATTAAACGTATTATTCCTAGAGAAAAGGATTCATCTTTTCTATACTAAAGCAAAAAGAATTCGGTTGTGATGCGGTGTTACGTCTGCAAACTCATACATAAAACTGTTTTGTGTTTCTCCATGAAGTTTTCAATTAAGAGATTTGATAACATAATTATGCATCCATTTGTACTTAGCTTATTCGTATTTCGATATCAGTTATTCGCTTACCAAAGCAGTTCAATAATGTTTTGGTAGGCATAATCTTTCGGCATAATCTTTTTCAGTAAGTCGGAACTAATTTATGATAGCAGGGTTTACTTCCTCATCACTGTGAAAATGAATACGTCCGATGAACTACTTCAGGGTTAAAAACGCGCAGAAATCTCTTTACTGCAAGTCAAGACTGGTCGGCATAGATGTTAGCATACCTTGCCTTAAAAGTCTATCAATTCGGCGCTAATCTTAATTGTTTTGTTCCGGTCAAAAAGAGAAGGCCCGTTTGGAATTTGTAAGATCCTGAATTGTTGCAAGGACTAAATTAATTACTTGTGTTTTGCTGCCCGCAACAAAGCAATTAACGTATTCGAGGTTTCAAAACAAGTCATTCGATCATTGCCAATGATAAGTTGATCAGCGTGCTGAATGTTCCCAGGAAATATAATTGTGGGTTGGGTCCACCACGACCGAGATCGTCGATGACGGAAGTACGAATAGCTCTCAAGAGCATGCAACCTACAAATATCTTACTGCGACCGGGTGTCTTACTACCAAACTATGACCGAACCCCGCTGCAAATGTCAGCTGATCCTATGCCTTTCTTCATTTGTAATGTTAGCGCGACACCTTGTCCCATGTGTAATCTCAAGTTGTTGTCTGTCAACTTGAATAACTCTACATAAACGTTTAAGCGATTAGGGGGTACTTAACCGTATTAAGATATAGATGCTTATTCCTGGTGGATGAGTTACTTCTACTCAGGAGTTAACTTCCGCATCCGCAGGTTTCGCAGATTAATATAACTAACTCATCTATGACGCAATAAACAAAGGAATAATTAAATTGTACCTTAATGTATTCGTCAGAACAGATCACAAGCTATCTGACACAACTCGTTGCGAGACATATACTTATTTCGCAGCCTAATCATTTTGTACCCAATAATCAAATATTGCGGGAAGTTGTTCGAGTTTTTCAATGGTTCCAATGGGGTTTTAAGAATGTTCTCTCGTTCACAAGTGGTAACATTTGAAGAGTTTTAGAGTAACTATTTATTTATTTATGAGGAACATTCCCCTGGGCATCTGAGTCCATGCGGAACACTCCCGCGAAAGGTTTCATCCGTTCTTGCATGTCGCATCTGGCATATGCGGACATAGTTTACAATACGTAAGTCGTCAGCAGTCTGACACTGTTTACTGCTGATGTATGTATGTAGGGTACTTATGAGCCTGACTCGTTTTTGGTGATATTACATGCTAGGCTCTCCCGCCATATGGCCTGTTCCACCATTCAGCTGTTTCGAGTCATGCACTTTTCTATTCGCCTGTGAGTAATTCACCTACAATGGATATAGTATATATCTTGGAAGCCTCAAAATGTCACCTTCGGCGACTTGTCTAATTGTGACTAATATTAGTAGAGATTAAATGACTATAAATTGACTGAATATGCAGTAACGGGTGAATGGTTCATGTCTGCCGGTCGGCCGATTAAAAATGTACCTAAGGAAAACAAAAAATGAATGACCTGAAGTATTCATTACAAAATAGGACACAAAGGAACATTAGGATAAGTACCGCTGCTGCAGGCGCTCGAAACTGTTTTCTTGGAAGAGCAGAAACTTGGTAGTGTTTTTGAGCTAATGTAAAGAGTAGACATTGAACTATCCACGTTGATCGGATTAAACGTGAGGTTAGACGGATAATGATCACGCTGATCCTGACACATATCCATATACAAATGTCGCCAATTGAAATTTGCCATGATAAACAAACGAACCTAAATTTTAAATGCACGGATGGACATATGTGTGTAACAGATACGTTGCGTGATCATTATTGAGTATTTGCTGATCGGTAGAATCGTAGCTCCACTAACATTATGTGTGGTTCGAATAGTTTAGTTTCCTACGATAAGAGGATATTTTGATTAAGCTCAGTTATGTACTGACCGCTAGATTGACTTGCTGTCACACAGCGTGGCGTTCAGTTTCATAAAACGGACCATCTAACTACGGACATTTTCGTGGAATTGTGTTTAAGAAGAATAAATTCTCGGTTTCTTATATTGAGGTCATCAAACTACTCAAAACTCAACTGGACACTTCAGCTTAACCTGAGTTTAGTTATCAGTTTGTCAGATCGAACTAACCCATATGATATGATTTCAGAAGTTTGCTGCTGGAGGATTATGAGAGAATCTAGGAATGAGATCGGAAGGGAAACCTGGGAGACTAGGCGTACTCAAAGCCTTGAAAAGACAATTATGCCACCGAGCCAAATAGAAGGATTTGGTGGTCATATGTTAGTTGGCCGAATACAGAAAACAGCTATATTTCTGTTTATCTGTGTACTTCAAGCAACCTTGTACTTTACCGAGCATTTGCTCTTTTACAGGATGCAGTAAACAGCCTGCGAAAGTCTCCGGTTGATTTAGAAGCCACCAATACCTTTTTGGATAATTTGGAGTTAGATGTCAAACGCACAACCTCGATGACATCTGGTAGAGCCAATCCGCGATTCAGATTTGCTGAGCTAACGATCAATGAGGTGCGCACGCAACTAAAGCATCTTGGCCCCCTAATTCAAAATGCCAATCTACTGGCACAAACGGTAGAAAAACTGCAGCAACAAAACTCACTCTCTGATCATCTGCGGAAACTTGGTGTGACTCTAGACAATACACTGAAGGTCAGTAGGGGTAACGCTATTGAAAAAATGTTTGCAGTCTACTTAATCTATGCTTCGCAGCTTACTATGAACTGCACATTTTTCACAAACGCAACTCCGTATCCCCTATGCAGATGTCTATATTTTAGGACTTACGTTTTTAATTCATGTTCAAATCGGTTGATTTGCATGACAAGTTTCAAACAAAGGAATACCCTTTTAATATGGCGCTATGTGGAAGATGCCTAGTTGCTTTCATAACAGTGAATCGCAGCTTTGACATGCTAAATCCGTAGAAATATCTAGTTTGATTCTAACGACCTCGGTTTGTTTGAAATCGCGCACATTAGTTCCGATTACCTGGGTGATACACAGCTGTTCCTGTTGGAAGGGTTAAATGTTGTCCCATGGTTTTAGTATGTGAGATTACTTGCTCACAACTTTTGAGTCCTGCGCTCCTTCGAACTTCAATTCGTAAAATCATATTTGTGATAACTGTCAAAATGGTATCGTATGATAAGGAACACGATGATGAAGTGAACTGTTGTTTTACTCCTACAACAGGCCCTGGGGGTAAAATAATTTTATACTTGGCTGCATTTTTGCGCTCATTAGTTGTGCTTACCGATAGTGATTTAAAGAATAAAAAACAGGATTTTTAAGTTGTTTTTTACTCGATTCGTACAAGACACGCCACGAGCTGACAGCTTTAACGACTTTATTACTCGACTTCATTCATACCAGTATGGACACTTCCCATTGGAATAAGCGAATTTTCAACTTAATCCATTGCACAAAGAATTCCGACAACTTCTCCAGCGGAGCTACTTAATCACCGCCTCTGCAGGAGATGAGAAACATTGTTTTGTTGTGAGTCGCTACATATTTTTTCATCAGCTTGACTGAATGAGACGTTTTTAGCCCAAAATGATCGTACAAATCGAGAACGTACGTCACATTTCATTCCGACTGTGGGCAATTTAAATATGCCCATTCTCATGTTGCTTAGGAGCATATGTGAAGATTACCGAAAACCCAACAAGCTGACTGATAGGTCCAGATTGCAGCTCATAATGCCGGTCTGATTTACTGATTACTTCGCTGTTTCCACAAGCAGTTATAAAAATTTTTGCATCAAAACTAAACGACAAACTACTTAAGTTGGGAATTTTATCCTCGTTATTCCTCCCTATTCATCCTCGTTATCCCAATTTTAACTAGGCCAACAACATAGTTCTACACACATTCCTTTTAATGCCAGCCACCACAGTGAGGTTTTTAATGCACACATTGAAACCGTCACTTTTTCAGATGTCACATATTGTGGTAGCTTTTTCTGCTTACGGAATCACAGTGAAATTAGAATAATGTAGATTTTTCTCCACCGTTGTCAGATATCAGCTATTGCATTGATTCCATTACACGTAGTGCACTTGCTGACCTAATCTCAAGCGTTTAAAGGCCAATCTAATTTTCTTGCTTCATCTAGACATTGTCGGACCCCAAAGTACTCGAGGCGCCCATTCTCCCCGCATACAAAAACGCAACACAAAGCCTGTTAGCCGATTTATCTAATGGCTTAGACAACCTCACAACAGAATTCACGGGAGCTGTAGTCTCCTGTAATCGTCTGCACTACGTAGTAAATTCAATGATCCAAGTTTCATGTTCTACAACGGGATTGATCAATTGGTTGGGTGGTACGACCTTTATTTTCGTCTTACTATTCTTCCCACTTTTGTTAGCTACACTTACGTTTCAGTCTTTTATTATCCTATACGGGCATATTTATTCAGTCTGATTGAAGTAAATTGTGAGAACAACGAAACAATATGGTTACTATCTCAATAGTAACATGTGACTCATATCCATGATCAATCCAGCCCAGGTTGTGGTATCGAATGACAAACAAGATAATCCATATTGAAAACAGTTGTTAAACAGACTGTTCCATCCATTGGGCTAGTCCGTCCGGCAATCAACTATTGGAACGAACACATTCTACGTACAATTATTAACTCCTGTAATGTAATACAATTGGTATTGACTACATACTTTGTTTTTACTTTTTAAACTAAAAGATCTAAATCTTTGGTACATCGATTAGACTGATTAAGAGCACCTCGGTTGTAACTGCTTTCATTTTAATGCTGTTATTGTATGTATTATTGTAGGAAGAGAGTGTTACTCCAGTATACACGGACGGAGAAGCGGTTTTAAGTGACTGCGTAATCTGACTCCCCCGGAACCAAAAAACGACCGGGTGGCGAATCAACTTACGCTGACAATGGACAAAGGGGTATCAATAAAGAACGTATGCAAAATCTGATTTCATTCTATTGTTGCAGCATGTAGTGACGACACGAGAGATACCAAGACAACGCAACTCGAAGGCAAACATTCAATAAACCTTGCTGTAAATGGGATCCATCAATGGTACGCGTTGTGTTAGTTTATTTATATGATCTTTGTACAGGGTTTCTAAGCTAAGGATTTGACGACACCGATATGTTAGGCAAGCTATGTGTGCCACTGCAGTTATACGTTCCCTTGCTTTAGAAACAAATGGGAGGAGAGTGACTGACGGAAGTTCGTGTGCTTTGCACGGTTACCACTTTGGTGAATGGGAGTAACTAGTCCATTTTTCCACATTTTGGGGACCTGCATTTCCTCGAGACAGTGTTGTAATGGTTTGGTAACATTCATGACAGTTGTCTTCAGTGCCTCCGGTTTGATGTCGTCCACGCCAGGTGAGCTCTGCACGTGCAATGACATTTGGGTTTTCATCAGGTTGACTACTGTGAAGTTTACCTGGTTTAACCCTGGTAGCGATGGGTGTTGTGTCAATAGCAGATGAAATGATGGTTCACTGTGGATAGGGTGGATGAATTGTTGGCGAATCACATTGGATGCATCTCGCGTAGTTTACGGCAAACCATCTATAGCACATAAATCTGGGATCCCGCGCTGCACACTGCGGAGCTTGTTGAGGTGTCTATACAGCAACTTGTGATTTGTACTGAAGTTTGCTACCAAGTTCTGTTGGTGTTGGAGTTTGTCTTCGCGCATCAACTTGACGCAGTGGTTTCGTTGAGTTGTGAAATCACCTCAGATCAGGTTACCTGGACAGACTTTGTAGGCGTGCTAGGCTGAATACCTTAAGGCCATACATTTTATAGTACGGGAACCAGTTCACTTGCCTTGGGCGAAGGACCATGCTTTCTGACGCATTTGCCAATAGCTCGGTGAATTGGGTGACGAACACTTTCCAAGCGACATCGGGCGGCTGCTCGACTAGGAAGGACCAGCCGGTTTCTTGAACTCGGTTGGACGGGATATCTTAATGTTAAGCGTCATCGGTTTTCACCTTGTTCTCACTGTTGTACTCTGAGTAACAGTTGTAACGAAAGAGCAACAGCGCATGATCTCTTCCGCCAAGTGGTGCATCTATGGTCCCGGTATCAAACATAAATTCCTCGTTGCTCAGCACAATGTCGAAAAACCGAGGGTGCGTCACCCGTCCAGAATCGCGTGGAAGAAATGACATGATTGTACAGAGGTACACCGGCAATCATCTTTTGCAGCTCAGCCTTGAATTCTTCACTGTGCGATGTTGGAACCGTCATTGCTTGCAGGCTAAAGTCGCTCATCCGCAGGACGTGACTGTATGGTCGTGTCAGGACCCGCTTCATCGCAGAAGCTAGGCACTGATCGATTTCCAAAATGGCTGTGGGAGGGCGGTGAAAAATTGCTAGCAAACACACATCACCAAGTCTTAGGGTCATCCGACACCAAAGTCAATCGATGACTTCCATTTCTGGGTCTTCAATGACATCAACATGCAAGTCGGATGGATAATACAGGAGCAATCCCCCTCCTCTGCTAGGTCAATCTTTCTTACAGAGCAGTGTCTTGGTCCGTTACGCTTCCAACTATATATAAGTGACATTGTTTCCGTTATACAATTTGGCAAGCCTTATGTGTTTGTTAATGATCTAAAGGTGGTTTACACTTTCCTTGGTTCTCAGCATTCCGCTGAACTTAACAATATCCAAAGCGACTTGAAAGCCATTGAGAGATGGGCTGATATGTGGCAGATGCCGTTTGCAACATCGAAGTGTAGTATTCTGGCGTATGGATGTCAGATAATAGCAGAATTGTTCAGGCTTCATGACAAAGTTATTCCCGTCAGCCAGTCTGTTCTTGACTTAGTTTTTCGATACTCTATTTCGTTAAACTTTAGCGAACATACAACTCATATCGTGTAGAAGGCTAAGCGGTCGATCGGGCTCATATGCCATCTGCTAACCTTGAAAGAAATCAGACTAATTGCTTTCATATTCGGTATCAGGCCTTCGCTTGAAAATTGCTGTGTAACGTTCAGGAACTTGCGAAAGTTTGACTTGAGAGCCATTGAAAACGTTCAACGCGTCTTTACAAAGCATATATTTGGTTATTCAACCGCTCTTTCATACAGACATAGGTGCAATAAGCAGAATCTTGAACCTCTGTAGTTACGAAGAACGTAATTAGGTCTGTGCTTCCTCCACAAACTCGTGTGGCGGGAAGCATAGGTTGCAATCTGTCAATTGCACTTTCGTAACAATATCATTTATGAACTGCGGGACAGTGAACGTATATTCTCTTTACCTAAATTCAAGAGCAGCCTACGGAGAAATTTCTACCTTCTGAGGTATGGATCCATTTGGAATAAGCTGCTAGAAGTGATTAGATGTATTGAACATTTTTGCATATCCAAGAGAATGATAGACTTATCTGTCAACTGACAAAGTGAAATGGATCTTAAAAATTCAACTTGAATATGAAAAGCTGTCTGAAGAACTGCTGGATCATGTATGATTCCGGAGAACATCGACTTGAAGCACATGCAACAAATGTACCAGACAAACCTGATCATCTATGATAAACTGTTACAACGGCTTCTTAGGCTATTCTTTAAGTCGACCTCCTATGTGTTTAGCCCTTTCAAACTTAATTCATGCCAACTGTCTTTTGATATAAAACAGAGTAAATTTGTTTACTTGTATGGGACCAGGAACTACCTTCGTATCGCTCCCCTCAATTTGACTAATTCGTAAGAATTTTTCGGAGATTGTTTTCGCTACATTTGTTCTGTAATGCTGAGTATCTTCCCTCCGTTTCTGGAGTTACCAGTCCAGCAACATATACTGGAATTCCGTGATGGCAATAACAGGTTCCTTATTTTAGTGTTTGCCTATGGACAACTCGTACAGTTATCTATCTCCTGATGTCACACCACACAGTTCCATCGTATGATCGACTTGGTCCATTTTTACGCTGACGTAAAACATACATGCTCATTTTTGACATTAATGAAATAATACATATTTCACACCATTCTTATTCTTCTACCTTCTTCCTTATTTTATTGTTGGCCACGACTGGGCTAATCTACTGAGGTGACGGATCGTAGCTTCTAAATTATAGAAGACTTCCCTACGCAAGGCAGCTTGTCACCAACGATCTAGTGTACAAATGATGTACCATAATTTATCCGCATGGCGGACCGGGCTGAGGCATCTTCGCCTATAATACATGTATAAAAGCAACCCTAAAAATTATAAAACGTTTGATAAACAGGAGATAGTTCGTATGCTACTATGCCACACCTGCACGCGACCAGGTATAGCATAGACGTGCAGTCGAAACCTTTCGAGCGAATACCTTGCATTGAAGCAGGTCCCCTGGGGACGCTTCCACGAGTGGCAGTATTAATTTATCTGAATACTTGTTTAAAACTGCATTTGTTATTGTTCATTGCGCTTTACCTTCTTTAATACCTTAAACATGCCAATTACTTTAATACCCGTTTTATATCCAGTGTATAAAGCGTGAACAATGGATTATATTTTGTGGTCCTGCTGTACACATTGATCAGACCACATATTTGGACTGCATTTCACATCATCGAGAAATATACCGTTTGTTTATTTATTATTTAATTCGGGAGGCTTTGTAAGCTCTTCATGCTAAGTCTCTCAAACACATGCATTTGCTTGTTCTGCTCCTCAGAAATGACTACCTTTTCTTTTAACCTTGGAAGGATTTCTGCTCAGACGCGTGCGTTACCGGTGTGGTGAATGTCCTCGTGAAAGTTTCCCAGGCACTTTCTGTGGGGCTTTCCGCTGAGAAGGTCCAAGATACCTCCTTAACAAGCACATATAGCACGTTGTAGCTCGTGACCATATATATTTTCTAGTCCTCTTCCTCAGGATATTCCGCATAACATACACAGTTAAACAGTAGAGTCACCTGTTCAGTGCGACCCAGTGGTGTGCTTGTAATTATTCCGTCTACCATAAGTTCGTTGGTGAGCACAACATCAATTATCGACGGCTTGTTCGCAGTTTAAAATCTGGTGGGGGTGGTCACGTGGTTGTAAAGATGGCAGCTGGAAATTGTCTCTTGTAAACAGGCTTTGAGCTGCTTGCTATCCGTCGCCGCTATTTCCAGATCGTGCACATTAAAGTAGCCTGCGATGAGTATGTGACTGTATATTTTGCTCATAGTAACCTGAAGAACCTTGTTTAGTTTGTGTTCCATTTCACACTTATAGTTTGGTGGACGGTAAACCCCAGTTATAATATGTGTCTTTGTTCCGTAACCATATACCGCACCAAAGCGAATCTGGGACTCGGATCTCCTGGTGGTCAGTAAGTTCACATCGGTGTTAGCCTTGTAATAAAGAATTGCGCCACCACCTATTCCAGCTGTCATTCCGAACCAGTAACATACCAGATAAATTGACTTCAGAATCTA